GTTACTTTGGGCTTGTGGGGAAACCAGAGAGAAATCCCCCAGAGTGGGGATGCAATGTGTCGTGTGCTCTTCTGTGAGTGGGGGTAAAAGCAGTGTCCAAATTCTCTGTTTTAACCACGTTGTCTCTAGGCAGTTTCTGAGACATAAAGGTGATTCTGTCGAGGTGAGATGTTAAGAAGCCACTAGGCACTCTTTGTACCTGGCCTGGATTGTCAGAGCCCACTCCATCAAAAGGGCATTCGGGGTGCCTGTGTGGCTCAGTCGGTTAAGCGCACGATTTCATCTTGGGTCACAATTTCACGGTTCTTGAGTTCGAACCGGTTCATCGTTCTTGAGCTCCTTGCTGTCAGCACAGGGCCCACTTCAGATCCTCTGTCTCCCTCTCTCTGTCTCCCTCTCTCTGTCTCATTGCCTCTCCCCCACTCATGCTCTCCCTTTCTGTCAAAAATAAATAAACATGAAAAAATATTTTTAGGGATGCCTGGGTGGGTCAGTAGGCTAAGTGTCTGACTTCGGCTCAGGTTGTGATCTTGCAGTCCATGAGTTCGAGCCCCACATCGGGCTCTGTGCAGACAGCTCAGAGCCTGGAGCCTGCTTTGGGTTCTGTGTCTCCCTCTGTCTCTGCTCCTCCTCCGCCCTCACTCTGTCTGTGTGTCTGTCTGTCTCCTTCTCTTTCTCTCAAAAATAAATAAAAACTGACAAAAAAATTTAAGGCATTCAAATTAACTTATAGTGAGTTCTAGGTTTTTAGTGCAGGTTAAATTAATGAAAACAAGGGTGGTTTAGATGGAAGGGCCCCTGGGAGGGCAGAAAGTTATTGATCCTTGACGCACATTTTTGGAGCTTTGTGTTGCATCTAACTGGGGAACTATACCTTATACCTGTGTTGAATGATTTATCGTGTAATAGGGAAATATTACTTAGTTTTCCTTGCTAATAACATTTTGGCTGATTTGATTTTATTTGTTCTAGAATGGTACATATTTGCTGACAGCTGCTGGATTAAAAAAAAATCCCAGCGGGATGGGGTGGTATTATTAGGGTTCAAATTAATCATACTAATAAATACCATGTAGAATTGTCAGTAGGCCATGTACTGTGCCAGGCACTTCACACATATGAACTACAGTCCACCATCCTGTAAGACAGAGCTTATCCAACCCACTTCACAGATTCAGAGTCTGATGCTCTCTAAGGTTAGTCATGTGCCTGGATTCGCGCAGCTGTTAAGGGACAGGGTTGAAACTAGACCTCTAATCTGGACTAGTCTAGAGTCCACACTGTTCTACTTCTACCCTGAGGTCCACCTTGTGTCTCTTAATTCAGTTTGCCCCTTTCTTCTTAAAAATGTATCTCTGGGGCGCCTGGGT